TAAATAACCCACACATATATATATATATAAAATAACAGTAGACATTAATAACGATAGGGTGCATTAATAAAGTAAGAATTAATTGATAAATAATTAAATAACCCACATATATATATATATATATATATATAAAATAACAGTAGACATTAATAACGATAGGGTGCATTAATAAAGTAAGAATTAATTAATTAATTGATAAATAACCAATATATATACAAAATAACAGTAGGCTAATGCCGAATAGTTGCCTTCTTGCTGTCAGTAGTTCGAGAATAGGAGCTGCGCACTGACAAAAGTACTGGACAGGACTCCAGAAATGGAGTTAGGAGAGCCTGTGCTATAAACTCCACTAGCGTACAACCATAAGTATTGTGTGTTAAAATGTCAGCTACGCACACATCTCGGGTTTTTTCATAATTATTAGTGCATATTAGAGAGAAATAGAGATTTTGGCAATAAAGTTAGAAAAAAAACTTTACTCTCCAGGTAATTATTATAGATATAATTTGAGCCAACGTTTCGCCATTGCGGCTTCATTAGGGGTAGTTGAACAATAACTATATATCAGGCGTTGTTTCATCCTAAGTTCTTTGGCTTGACTTGATTCATCAACTAACCCACGATGATTTGATAAACAACTTCCTCATTATCAACTGAATAAACCTAATCAGGCTAAATAAAGCATAAATATCACAGATGAATATAAAGGCAAAAAATCAACAACGTGACTTTGCCTCGTTCGAGGTCAGTGTAAAATTTAACGACGTTTTTATTGCATGCAGACGTTGAAAGAAGAAAAACACGCGACAAAAACAAATATTTGGTTTATTAAGATTTTTTCTGATATAACACTGGAGACAGATTGTTGTTCATGTTTCCAAGGCTGTGTTATTTTTAATTTTTAATATTTAGGCTTAGTTCTTACATGTAGTTTAGCCTGATATATTAGGTAACGAATTATCAAGGTTCAACTAATGTGTTATTTTGTGTTGTTGTTTTTTTAGTTGACTGCACCCATTGCTTTGTTCTTCCTAAATGAGACAAAAGAATTGATGCCAATTGCCATTCAACTTTTTCAAGATGAAAGGCCAAAAAATCCCGTGAGTTTGCAAAATGTATTCCAAAATAAGTAACCAGGAGATTTGAAAAAGTATGAATTGCGGTAAAATTAAATCGTGAAGGAAGGGGGCACATAACATAAGTGTATACTGTTCAAGTTTACTTACCACGCTGGTAGTTCTAGTGATAAATGTAAAGATCAAAACAAATGTGTCGAGTTACACATTTGTTTTCTTGTTTCAACTTGTATGCCGAGACAACCAGTCATTCTTTCTTAATGAAGCTGTATCCCACTGTATCTGAGAGGTCATATGTCCACACGAAGTTATACATACCATTCTGTAACTTTTATAACGTATGCCGCTAGACTAATTCACCTTTATCTTAAGAATAGAATTATT